AGTTATTTTGTACAACACTTGTTCTGCTACAACTAATAATTAGTCAACCTTTTATATTAGCTGTATTTAAGACCACTCATAAGTCTGCCATCTTTAAATTAGATGTGTCACCTGATATGATCCCCTCCAGCTCAGATGAATTAATATTCCCATTCATAATCCCGTGTTGCCAATAGAGGTCTGCTAAGCTCTGTGTGTGTGAGTAATGTTAGTGTATGTGGAAATCCAGCTTAAGACGACGGATTGTGTTTCAGCACATTCCTGACAGGGAAGATCATGCGCAAAAACCCTCGCAATCTTCGTTTGCCTTTACGTAGCAAATATATTAATTTCAACCTTCAAATACTTCTGGCCCCAAATAGGAATCTGATCCATGGAAAGTATATGCACAATACAAATCACATAGGACAAAAGCTCATGCAAGTGGATATTTAGAAATGTGAAATCTAAATTCATTCATTCATTTTCTTGTCGGCTTAGTCTCTTTATTAATCCGGGGTCGCCACAGCAGAATGAACCGCCAACTCATCCAGCAAGTTTTTACGCAGCGGATGCCCTTCCAGCCGCAATACATCTCTGGGAAGTGAAATCTAAATATATGTATTTTATTTCAATCATTGAAATTGCACATATGCACATACTCTGAATATTTACATGTAGATATTGTAGATCAGGGGTCACCAATCTCGTTCCTGGAGATTCGGTGTCTCTGCAGGGATTAGCTTGCCTCAACACACCTGCCTGGGTGTTTCAAGTATACCCAAGACCTTGATTAGCTTGTTCAGGTGTGTTTGATTAGGGTTGGAGCTCAAATCTGCAGGACACCGGCCCTCCAGAAACAAGTTTGGTGAGCCGTGCTGTAGATATTCAAATATATTAGATATACAGTGGCTACAGAAAGTATTCAGATCCTTTTAAATTTCACTCTTTATTATATTGCAGCCATTATATTATTGCAGCCATTTGAAATATCACATGGTCCTCAGTATTCAGACACTTTGTTCAGTATTTAAGCACTGCTTTGATTTAATACAGCCATGAATCTTTGTGGGAAAGATGCAACAGGTTTTTCACAGCTGGATTTAGGGATCCTCTGCCATTCCTCCTTGCAGATCCTCTCTGCACTGTAAAAAACAAGATCACCATTTGTTCAGCACACTACTCTTTCTGTCATATATCCTAAGAATTGTGAATAAGAATTGATTACATAAAAAATATATCTTAATATCAACAATATTCGCTAAAACGTTGTGTCTACGTGTTTAACTGAGTTTTCTGGACAAACATTTTTGTGTTGAACAGGAATGCTGATATTTAAATAACTCGCGCATGCGTGACGTGACAATCGGAAACTAAGCTTGTTTTTTTGTTTTTGTTTTTTTTTATCAGAAAGAGGGGTGACAGTGACGCAGCTGGTAGCACAGTCACCTCACAGCAAGAAGGTTGCTGGTTCGACTCCTGGCTGGGTCAGTTGGCATCCCTGAGTTCACGTGAGTTTCCTCCGGGTGCTCTGGTTTCTGCCACGGTTCAAAGACATGAGGTAAAGGTGTCTGAGTGTGAATGGGTGTTTGCAAGTACTGGGTTGCAGCTGGGAGGGCATCCGCTGTGTAAAACATATGCTGAATAAGTTGGCGGTTCATTCAACTGTTGTGACCCCTAATGAATAGGGATGTAACGGTTTCAGAATTTCACGGTACGGTAATACCTCGGTATGAATGGCACGGTACGGTATTTGAGTAATTTACAGGAAAAACAAAACTAATGAAAAGACTCGAAAAAAGTGCCAAAAGTGTTTATTTACCTTAGCACTGAACATATCAAATGACATACAAGTAGCCATCTATCTGTAAGTTTCGAAACAGGAACTTCAATTTTTCAATTTGAATAACAAAAAACTATAAAACCAAGTAGAAAAAATAAAGTTTCAATTTAGTATTGTTGAAAACTCATCACATTCAACATTTAATCACACACTCACTTGGATAGAGATGGGTTTTTTTTAAAGAAAAATTATCATATAAATATAATCTGGCAAAAGCTGGGATCTCTGGGCATTTACAATGCAATGTCCCTCTCTTTTGGGACTGAGGTTTCTGGGACAGAGAGATATGATTTAGCCAAGGTTGACCGCAGTGGGTAACGCTGTGCATTGTCTTTCCACCACTTGAGCGGACAAGCCATGAGTGAGATAGAGGTCTCTTTACAGTACAAGTCAACGTCTGCATCAATCTAACAAGTGTGCTGTGTTCTGCAGTCCCCATGACTGTTTTTAGTCGTATTCCCCAACTTATATTTCACCACAGTCTGGCAGTGCCTGCATACTGTTTTTCTTTGTCTGTCACCTTTTCTCTTTTTTCGTATCTTTTTATAAAGAAACCGAAACACTTCCACACATCCGATTTAAAACCCGCTTTAGGTTCACACACTCCATTTCCGCATTACTGGATCTGTAGCGACAACAGACCGCAAAGGATGATGGCCACGCCTAGGCTGATGGGAATTGTAGATCCCGCTACCTCCCGTTCGCTTCATTCGCCTGAGCAAGCTTTTCTCAGAAATATAGTTTTGAGTCATGCGCCTACAGTAATATTGAAAAAAATTACTAGTGGGGTATGACGATATTTACAATATTGTTACATCCCTACTAATGAATAAAGGGACTAAGTCAAAGAAAAATGAATGTATAAAGTAGTAAATTTGTGTTAGTTTTAAGTAAAATGATTAAAAACATGATGATATGCCAACTAGAACTAATTACTTATTTGGCAAATTTGAAAAAAGTCATCCACTAAACAGCAAAAAAAGGTAACACTTTATAATAACTACACACTATAAATCATTTATTAAGCATTAGCAAATAGTGAATTCATTATCTATTAAGCCTTAACTCTAAATATCATATATTAATACAGGCATATATTAATGGTTACTATGTATATTAATAAATGCTTTATCAGCTCAACTTCATCTAGTTTTGTGACCTAATCTAAAGTGAGGACTATTCGTGCTTTATAAATCCCTTATAAATGACAAATAAAGGCTCGGTTAAATTCTAAGCAGGAAAAATTACATTATTCCTACCTATTCATATAAAGATACACAAAAGAAACTGCACTTTAAATAAAAAATAAATCTTTGCAACCTGATCTAAAATAATATCAGTGTAGAGTTTAATCAATGCATCTTACATTTATTATATTGTTGTCGTTTTATCCAGTTTTATGTCGTATTTTGACACTCCTGTTATTCAGCAATGTTTAAACTTTACAGTAATTTTACTTTTTTTGAAAAGATTGCAAAGATTATTGTTCATTTGAATCTGAGCCTGTAATAGTCATTTACAAGGGATTTATAAAGCATGAATAGTTCTCACTTTAGATTAGGTCACAAAACTGCATGAAGTTGAGTTAATAAAGCATTTACTAACATATTAGTTAACTATTACTATACGCCTGAATAATAAGACTTATAAATGTTGATTTCAATAGTTTACTTACTCATTCTGAAGTATCCTAAAAAAAACCAACTACTCAAATACAACTGTTTTGTAAATAATTAATTTTAATAATTAATAACTTAATTTACTAATGAAATATAAATCATTAACTAAGTATGAAAATACAAATAAGCACGTTATATAGATGCTTATAAGTCAAGAATACAGCATTTGTAGCTGCAGTTATAAACTGCTTACTAACGCTTATTAATGTAGAGTTAATGCTTAACAAATAATGAATTCACTAGATGCTAATGCTTAGTAAATGATTCATAGTGTGTTGCTTCAGTTGATGTGACAAGAATATCTCTATTAGTAAAATACAAGGTCCCACTTTATATTAAGTGTCCTTAACTACTATGTACTTACATCAAAAAAAAATACAATGTACTTACTGTGTTTAAAATGTATTTGAGAACACTTTTGGTGCTTTTGAGTTGGGATAGATGTTGGGTTATGGACAGGTTTGGTGGTGTGGGTAGGTTTAAGGGTGGGTTAAGGTGTAAGGGATGGTCAACAGTGTATTTACAAATGTAATTACAAAAGCTAATTACAGATGTAATTACATACAGGTATTTAATCAAGCATAAGTACACAGTAAATACATGTATTTAAACAATTAATACATTGTAACAAACTATAAATTCCTATGTAAGTACATATTAGTTAAGGCCACTTAAAATAAAGTGGGACCAAATACAATAATCAACATTGCATAAATAAACAAAATTATGTCAGCTGAACACAAAATTGTTACTGAGAAAAAAATTAAAAAAACAGTTGTTGAGACAACTCAAAGTTCTCACTGCATCAGGTTGCCTTATTTTTTTATGTTTTCTCAATTTTTTACTGTGTAGTTTTGTCAGGTTGGATGGTAAACGTTGTGACTGCCTATTACATTACAAACCACAGGAGAGGGCAAAGATAGCGCTCCTTCTCATACCTCAGCCTCTACATCAAAGCTCCTGAAAGCAGATAAGGTCAAGATGCTCCAGGATTGGCCAGCCCAGTCACCAGACATGAACATTATTGAGCATGTTTGGGGTAAGATGGACGAGGCATTGAAGATGAATCCAAAGACTCTTGATAAACTCTGAAAGTCTTGCAGGAACGCTTTCTTTGTCATTCCAGATGACTTTATTAATCAGTGATTTGAGTCAGAGATGTATTGATGCAGTCCTCCAAGCTCATGATGGAGTCAGACACAATATTCATTCTGTCTCCACTGCAGCAGGACTTTATATTCTATATTGGACATTATTTCTGTTCAGTCACAAGACTTTTCTCTAAGCAAAGTCAGACCTTACTGTCCTAATGAAATCACAATCAAGACATGATCATATTTTATTGTGGTCAAATAGGCAGAATCTAAAGGCCTGCACTTCTGATACCAAATGATCAACTACAAGTCAAGTTATGATTTGCTGTTCCTAAAACTGCAACAAGACTTTAGTCAGGTAGTGTACATGGGAGTTCTCAGGGTTTTATGCGAAGACCACAACAAGCTCTGGAGTTGTAGGGAATTAGTCTGCGCTGAGCCATCTGCGCTCATAAAGCTCATTTGTGTCTGCTTACGAGGAGAAATTCGGCATTATCTGTTCTTACAGAGCGCCTGAAGCGTAAACGCATCTGTTTGAGAGACAGTGCTCATGCTTTCCACCATAAAGAAGACCCGCGCCGGTAAGAGACCGTATTTAAACTCTTCTTCAGAGTTTATTGTCTGTCAGGGATTCATTAAGCAAATGTGCTCATCGCCGGCTTTTAATCAAAAGCGCTGGAGGAATTAGTCCATTTCAGCTCGTAAACAAATCAGTGTTTGTCCTGCTTTGTCTTAAATCCGCTCGTGCATCAAGACTTTGTTATTTGGATTGATTGATTTTAGATGAATTATGATATTGTCATTTTAGCTGGTAAATAGTATAAACTCTGTGGATTTCTGCTCTTATGTAACCACCGTTCGTTTCTAATGAAGCGATTGGCTCTGGGTTAATGGCGTTATGACATAATAACTGTGTTTTTTAATACTTTATATGATGATTAAGTTCATGTCGGCTTTGTGCTTTCCAGGAAAATGTGTGGAGGAGTTGAATGACATATTTTGACTAAGAATAACTAAAATGTTTGGGGTTTTTTTGGAATGAAATGACATTTATGAAGAGATTATTTTCCCTGTACTGGGTTATCCGCTGTGTTAGGGTGCACTCACACTATGCTATTGTCACGTTTAGCGTGATCAAAACAATAGCAAAACGGGAACAAAAAGATATTGGATTCAAGTGCAGATTTAATAGATATTAAGTGCAGAAAACAGTGACAAAAATACAAAATCGCAAAAAATACAAAGTAACAAATCAACAACAAAACAAGAAACAAGACAGATAAACACGAACTAGACTTAGGCAAACTACGAGGCAAGATCAGGAACAATAACAAACTTACAGAGAGCACGAAGACAATGAAGGCAAACGACGCGACGACAAACATAGGTGGAATGGTAGAATATATAGTCCAGATAATCAACGGTAACACAGAACAGATGAGATGACAGGTCAGTGTAGGTGTTCCGGTGTGTGCGCACGGTATGTATGAGAATGTAGTTTTTCTGAGACGCTATAGTGCTGTCTTAGTCCTGATGCATTACAGCACCATCAGGTGGTCACTGATGGATGTGACAGCTATTCGAACTGTGCTCGGGTGTATTTCTGGATTCGTTTGACAAGTGTGAGTGCTCCGGATTGAGCCCATGTGTGGTTTAGTTGGCCGGCCCTGGCCCGGTGGGAAGAGGTGCCAGAGCGCGGTTTGGTGCGGTACGCTTGTAGTGTAAGTGCAAGGCCGCACCTGAGCCCAAAACTGAAGACTTGACGCCACTTTTAAGGGACTGTTTTATATGGATTTATTAACCTGTCAAACTGTGCGTGACGTCATCGAATTTCGCTTTAAGATTTAAAGGGCTAGCATTGCACCAGACCCCCGTAAGTGGTTTCATTTGAAAGTGTAGTCTATATTTTATGCACATATGCATCACTTGTTTTTATTTTACTGTACAAAAGTTATTTACTCTTAAATACACAGTATTTTGGATACCCGAGCTGGGTATTGAACATTGGTTCATTTTCATATTTTTTTCATATGACACATGTACAAGTTATAGCTCAAATGAAAGCTCTTGCCGGTGCTCATATGGTTCTAGCATTCTTTTTACTGAATTATATTCACATATCATCAGTTGCCGGACGTATCGTGGTGTTTCCATAGCGCAGAAGTGAAAACAATACATTTATGATCAATAAGCAGCCCCAGATAGCACAGACAGCTGTCATCTCTTACCTTATGCTGTGCGCTTCAGGGCCATTTCTCCTCCGTTTTTGAGGTGATGTGCATAAGTAATGCTTTATATGTCTGATGTGGTGCAAACAGTGAATTATGTTTGATCGAACAAAAGAATAGTGAAATATGAAAACAAAGATCGCTCCCTGTGGCTTGTACAGCACCTCTCATCTGTTGGAATACAATAACTTTTGCATAGATTATGGTAGAGACATTTTTCTTTTTTCCTATGATTACAGACATGTGCAGGAACCACCAACATTAATTACAGCAAACTAGACCACACAGAACCTAAAAGGTGCACTTTCAAATTTGAGTTTATAAAAAATAAAATACAAAAAGCGCCTCTTTTTAGGTGTTTATTATAACACAGACGACATATACAGTTATTTTAAACCCTTTCAGTAGTGTTTTATGAAAATTCAAAAGGTTGTCTTTAAAATTATATATATATATATATATATATATATATATATATATATATATATATATATATATATATATATATATATATATATACATTTTTGTGCCCCTAGAACATCATCACATGAACACTGACATAAAGTGTACAACTCTGAACACAAACTTTATTTCTTCTTTTTTTTGTCCAATGATCTTAAACTATTCATTGTTATTGTTATATGTATACTTAATGCTTTGCTTTTTTGAACTCTGTACGAGGTATTATTTGTGTTACAGTCATTAATAAAATTAAATAATTAAATAAATAAATAAATAAAATAAAAAATAAATAAATAATATAACATAAATATAAAATAAAATATTCTGAACACACGTGCGATTACAGGAATGACCACAAGAGGCCAGTGTTCTCCTTTTCCAAAAGTCCACATGGAGAAATACAGTAATAATAGGAGAAAGATAATTGAATTGAAAGGTTTGCGCATCTGTTTCAGGCATGATTTGATTGATAGTTTTATTTGTGTGAGCTTACATGTCGAGATGTTCATGTAATTCATGTCCTCATTTTGTAGAGTGCTAAACTCGCGTCGTGTTCATTTGTTTGAATCATTAAGTTTAACCGTTAAATCAAATGTTAACAGTTAAAACCAGAACAGTTTAATGGAGCGGTCTCTGATATGTTTTAGGACATCCTCCATTAGGGTTTATTGGTTTTAAAATGACAAATAAAGACTTAAATGATGGATACAGTTCACGTTAAAACCAATATCGTTCGTTATGACCAGTACAAAACCATTAGACTTTCAATGACTGTTTCTAAATACTTTGAACTACAATATACAAAACTTTATGTAAAAAAGACTTGATTCAGGATATTTCTGCCTTTGTAAAAGCTGTAAATCTTTTCATCAGCCTTATTTTCACTCTTTAAATTCAAAAGGCGTCTATAACCGACCTGACTGACCTTTATTGTACTTTTAAGACGTTTTTTTAGCTCACCTTTAACAAACGATAAACCGATGCTAAAATATAATAGCAGTAAGATATCGAGGGTCATGTAAATATATGCTAAAAAACTATTTTAAAAACTCAGTTAATATTCTAAAAAAAAAACTTAAACTTAACTATTAAAACCAGTATATTTTAATGGTTTCTGGTATGTTTTTGGACATCTTTTGATTACCCTGCTGAAAAATCCAGCTTAAACCAGCCTGGCTAGTTATAGCTGGTCGACCAGCCTGTTTTAGAGGGGTTTGGGCCATTTCCAGGCTGGTTTCCAGCCATTTCCAGCCTGGTCTTAGTTGGTTAGGCTGGAAAATGACCAGCTAAAACCAGCTTGACCAGCCTGGTTTAAGTTGGATATAGCTGGTTTTGGCTGGACTCCCAGCTTGGCTAGGCTGGTCAAGCTGGTTTTAGCTGGTCATCTCCCAACCTGACCAGCTAAGACCAGGCTGGAAATGGCTGGAAACCAGCCTGGAAGTGGCCAAAAAAATCGCTAAAAGCGGGCTGGTCGACCAGCTAAAACCAGCCAACCAGGCGAGGCTGGTTTAAGCTGGATTTTTCACCTGGGTAGAATTTATTAGTTTTCAATTACCACCAATATAAGTCAAAACAAATGAGGCTACAATTAAGACCCAATGACGGATACTTCACATTAAAACCATAACCATTGCAAAACCATTAGAACTTCCGAGACGGTAGTTTCTACATACTGTACTTTCAACCACATTATAGAAAATCTTAAACAAAAAAGACTTGACTCAGGGTCTGGCCTTGTGAAGACTAAATCAACAGCCTTTTTTTTTACTGGCTTTAAATTCAATATGGTGTCTGTAACCTGGCTAACGTTTATTGTACATTTAGGATGTTTTCGCTCACCTTTAACATGAAATAAACGGATGCTAACTGCTAACATATTAGCAGTAAGATCACAAAGGTCATGTAAAAACTGCTGAAGAAAGGGAATATTCTGGTTTCCCTTACAAATACTAGTAAATGTTAACACATAATCCATTGAGATAAACATGTAGAAAACAAGGTTGAGTGAAATAAATAAGTAGTTAAGTAAGTATATACAGCGGGGGAAAATAGTATTGAACATGTCACCATTTTTCTAAGGAAACATATTTCCAAAGGTGCCGTTGTCTTGAAATTTTCACAGAATGTTGAAAACAAAAAAAAGAAATCCCTATATGCAAAGAAAATAAATCTAATTAGTTTACAAATTAGGTTAAGTGTAATAAAATGAAATGACACAAAGAAAGTATTGAACACATGAAGAAAGGGAGTTGTAGAAAGACATGGAAAGCCCAGACAGCAGCTGAAATCTCTCAGTATTTCTTTATCAATCCTCTGCCCTTCCTCAGTGTAAATGAATATCAGCCGCTTCAGTCCAACATCTACAGGAGGACGAAGATGAAACCAGGGTAGACATTTCAGCAAGACAATGATCCAAAACACTGCCGAGGAGACTCGAATGCTTTCAGAGAAAAAAAATCAAGCTGTGGAATGGCCCAGCCAATCACCTGATCTGAATCCAATAGAGAATATAAAATAAAAATCAGATTTCATAGACCAGACCCACAGAACCACCAAGATTATTGAAGTCTGTGAAAAACTCACACATGAGCAATGCATGTGACTTCAATCTCCATATGAGAGGCGTCTTTAAGCTGCAGCACCAAACAAAGTATTACATACAGTCAGTAGTTCAGTGCATTATGATTGTGTCATTCCAGTGTTATCACACACAACTCATTTATCAGATTGTATTTATTTTTATGTTTGTATTGTTTGAGTTTTTACCAAAATCTACGTCAACAGCTCCTTTAGAAATTTTATTCCCAGGAAAAAGCATGACGTGTTCGATACTTATTTTTCCCGTTGTATAGGGTTCATACGGTCATGAAAAACCTGGAGAAGTCATGGAATTTGGACTTGGCATTTTCCAGGCCTGGAAAAGTTATGGAAATTAGTTTAACAAATATCTGTATACTCAAATATGGGTTAGCTGCCTTTACTTTTTTTCTGTCCATGGCCAAACTCATGCTCTCACATTAATAGTGCTGCGTGAGCATTATCTAAATAAATTTTGTGGATATATAAAGATTAATTAAAACTAAATAACAGGGTGTCCGCAGGGTCTTAAAAACTAAATTTTAGGCCTTAAAAAGTCTTAAATTCACTGAAATATTGTGTTGTGTCTTAAATCATTTTTAACAGATCTTAATTTTCCTTTGCCCAAGTAAAGCTTCACAATCAGGCTGACATTCCTCCAATCACCAACAATCCATCTTAATAAAACATTTTTTTTTAATATTTACCTTTGTACGTTTTTTTTATTGCAAAAAGATGCAATATACAATAACTTGGAAATAGTTCACAGTAATTCCTCCAAATGAATTCACAAATCTAAAAACAATAACACACTTCCTCATGAAAATAACAGAGCAATATATGCCTATAGGTTATTTTCCATTCAAACAAAAACTCTACAGAGTAAGGGAGAGTAGACGTAATATTTATAAATAGGCATGAAACTTAAGAGTTTATTACAGAAACACATTAGGTTGAATAGAAATTATAGTCGATCAGCTTGGACCGAAAGCCAACAAATATATATATATTGTCAGAATATCTAGCCAATTCCATGCATGTTCAATAAGAAAAGGTCTGGAGAGGGTTTTCTTCAACGCCAAAAATATTAGTAATTAATTAGATACAAATGAATAATTCAATGACAGAGCTCTGGGTTACGTTACCACAATGCAATACAAGAATTACATTCAAGAGGTTCGCAACTAACATACATTTCCTGACTCCAGCATATATACACAACTGATAATAACAGGTGGAGTTTTGCTTTAACGTCACTGATCAGACATTCTGCAGTCCTTTAACTCTTGTAACCCCAGGCACACTTGCTCTTTCTGCAACCCTTCTCTGCATAATTACGTGCATCTTTAATATATTTCACAACTTCTACAAGCATCATGACAACTTGTGACATGTCTAGATTTTGTATTAAACAAAGGCCCTTACACTTATTCCTATTCTGCTTTTTCCACTTGTCAGCATGTTCATTGAAGTATGCAGCACAGTAAAAAAGAGGAAGTGTCTGGTCAAGATGTGTTATAATACAATAGAAAAGATTGATTAATCTGTTGTTAGTCTAAACATTTTTCTAATAAATAAAAACACAAAAGTAATAAAAATAAATTCCTATTTTCCAACAATATTTCTGATTATTTAAGTAATTGTCTCCACAATAAATATACTTTAAACCATGCAGCGTTCAACGCTATGGATTTTTTCTACTGGTCCGATCGGGCCAGTGGTTCAGATTTTTACTTGCCCTGCCAAAATTTACACTGGCCCCACAAAAAAAAGAGAAGTTAATAGCTAGTTTTTTTGCCACATTTTAAATAATATGTCAAAAATAAAGTCTGTGATTCTAGAATTTCAATACTTAAAATAAACCGTACATAAAAGTTTTATGCAAACAAAAAGAGCAGAACAGAAAATGTAAAAAAAAAAAAAAAAGAAAGTGGCTGACTTGTCAAACTGGCAGCAAACTGTGCAAAACATCTTCATTTTTATTTTGTCGTGTTAGGGCACTTTCACACCTACACTTTTGCTTCGGAACGTGTCTCATTTGCCCAGTTAGCGCGGTTCGTTTGGCATATGTGAACAGGGCAATCGCGCTCTGTTCCGCGCCAAAGTAATCGCACCGAGATCGCTTGAATGAGGTGGTCTCGGCTCGATTGAAACGAACCCTGGAGCCGCTCAATTGCAGTGAGAAAGCAATCCGATCCGAGCGCGGTTATATCACAGTGGTTTATGAATATGTAATAGGCGTACGGCTATATGAAGAGAGAATTATGAGTATGTCGGGAAGTTTCGCGAGTCTCCAGATGCCCGCAAATGAGTGATGATCTCCCGGTAATCTTGCGTCTCCCTCCCGGTCCTCAAATAGGCTACGTCGCACACTCTTCTCACCCCTCCCCACCGCGTCTCTCCTCAGACACGTCGCACGTGCACCCTGTCAATCACCACCAAACCACCACCTCTCCTGACAGCTGAGCGGGACGCTGCAAAATAAACCCTGACACTCTGACCAATGTGAGGAGAGTTTACTCACACGTGACTTGTTTTAGCTCTTTTAGTCCGATTAGAAACTTTGCAGTGTGAAAGCGAACTGCTCCAAGAGCAAAGAGCAACAATGTATCAATTGTAATCTCTGTTTCGGAACAACTGAATCGATTCACAGGAGTGAAAGCACCCTTAGTCACACGTAAATGTCTACTTCCAAGACGTTAGAAACAGACATTTTCCTTTAGCCTTATAATTTGATGTTGCCGCCATGTTGCCGTTTCTTCGCTCTACTGGTTTTTACCAGGTTACAGAAAAAAAATATCATGGTCAATCAGATAAGAGGAACTGGAAAGCAATATGGTGTTTACGAGATCACAGAGAAGGTAGTGTTTAAAAACTTAAAAGCACAAACTTAAAATGCACGTAATTGACAAATAGTCACAGACAACTTAAATGTTAGTGACAAGGCAGCACTGTCCCAATCGGGCCAGTAATGATCCAGTCTACTGTCCCAAGTGTCTCTCAAGCTGGCCCTGGGCCACCGGGCAGTCCTTATTGTTGAGCCTTGCCATGTTAAACGTGTCATTTTTTTTTGTCAAAACAAAATATAATGTTAAAAAAACGTGTATACATATTAAAGTATGTTGCTACAAAATAATTACATTTGGTGGGAGGCAAAAAATAAAATAAAAAAATTGTACCAAACGGGCCATTAGAAATAATCATTAGTGTTTAGCCTTGTATAAGTCTACAATTTCATTCATTGTGGTCTTAGAAAGTCTTAAATTTGACTTGAGGATACCTGTCTTGTTATTCATCACATATACGTAGACGTGACATGAAACATTAGGTCAAGAAAATTTACTTAAATCCTGGAAAAGTAATTGAACTTGGTGGTAAAAATATGTATGAATCCTGAAATTAATAAACAAATACAAAGAATGTATTAATTTCATGGCTGAAATTGCCTTTAGGGCCTCAAAATCTCTAAATCTGCCCCTGAATGTTGTAGTATTTGTTAGTGTCACTACATTTAAAATGTGGTGTATTGTAGGATGATATTCCCTTTAGTTGAAGACCTTTAGTAACAGACCACAATATTGAGTGATCTATTTATATTACTAAAGTTTAAAATCACCACAGCATATTCCTTTAAGTACAGCATGGCTCAAAACACTACAGTAAATGACTGCAATTTGGGTTACTGTAGTATTTTTTCTTTTGTCTTGAAGGAGGGAAATAAAGTTTGCTCTCACAGACGTTCTCGAGGCCTACAAACACGTCCCTCGCAAAAGTTTGCATGTTTTCAAAGCCTTTATTTTTGGGCCACAGTGTCCCAGAGTAGATTTACCTTCAATAACCATTTATTAAATCTCTCCCCCCCATTAAAGTCGCAAGCTTCCAAGAGCCGACTGCATTAATCCTGATTACAGGCTGTCAAGCGGAGGAAACGGGGTCTATGTGTCAAGCGTGTCATCGAGAGATGCTTTTATCCGCATCTGCATCTCTCTGCCTTCAGTTCGGGGCGGGAGAGGCAGCCGACGGGGGTCTCTGAGGGTCCCAAGATGGACCGCAGCGTCAGGAGGGCCAGTGGCTCCATCAAACGGGCCTCCATCAAGCGCTCCACATCAGGATCGCAGAAGGTAAGAGATCAAATATGACTGTAGCTTTCAGTAAATACTGCAGTGTTTTCGAGCTGTTCTGTAGTGAAGCACTGGAATGGATCTGCTGTGGTGATTCTGTACGGTAGGTGCTGTATGGCAACAAGACCATTTCAATGTGGTCAGGGTTCAACGCTAGGGATTTTTTGCTGAGGATTTTTACTTGCCCTGCCAAAATTTTCACTGGCCCCACCGAACAAAAGCAGTTTATTGCTATTTCTTAGCCACATACAGTATTTTAAATAATGTTTCAGAAACCAAACATAATTGTAATACCAACCCATTTTACTCAGCATAGCTTTTTTTTTTTTAATACAACTGACAATTTAAAAAAATTCACATGTGATGTAACTGATGTACTGTGTGTGTGTGTGTGTGTGTGTGTGTGTGTGTGTGTGTGTGTGTGTGTGTGTGTGTGTGTGTGTGTGTGTGTGTGTGTGTGTGTGTGTGTGTGTGTATATGTATATGTGTGTATATATATATATATACACACACACACAAATATTTATATATAATTTATATATTTATATATAATTTATATATTTACAAAAGTTTGGGGTCAGTTTTATAAATCTTTTTCATGTTTTTTTTAAAGGAAAATTATTCAGTTCATCAAGGTGATATTTATTAAATATAAAAAAATATAATTGTTAAATATTTATTACAGTTTTAAATAACTGCTTTCTTATTGTCTGTAGTTTCAAATAAAATTATTACTCCAATAAACACTCTTAATTTTAGACATTGTCTTATTCAATTAAAAATAATTCATAGGGTTAATTATTCAAAGAAAAAACTAGGTCCCACTTTATATTAACTGTCCTTAACTACTATGTACTTCCTTTAAAAAAATAAATGCAATGTACTTACTGTGTTTATGATGTATTTGAGAACACTTGTGGTGCTTTTGAGTTGGGATAGAGGTTGGGTTATGAACAGGTTTGGTGGTATGGGTAGGTTTAAGGGTGGGTTAAGGTGTAAGGGATGGTCAACATAGTATTTACAAATGTAATTACATACTGATATTTAATCAAGCATAAGTACACAGTAAATACATGTATTTACACAATAAGTACATTGTAACAAACTATTAATTCCTGTGTAAGTACTTATTAGTTAAGGCTACTTAATATAAAGTGGGACCAAAAACTACATAGAATCTTCCAAAATATTTCACCTCTTTGTGACAAATGTGATTCATCAGATGCGGATCTATCTCACAGTTTTATTTTGTGTTCGAAGATACAGAATTATTGAAGTGCTTTCCGAGGTATTAACGTTGCAATTACAACCAGATCCAATGCTTGTAATTCTGGGATTCTCTGAACAAATGGATTTGTTGTCAAATACACAACATAAATTGCTCTCGCACTGCTTAACTACTGCCAAGAAGCTACTGCTACTGTTTTTGAAATAAAATGAATCCCCTACATGTAAACTGTGGCTTGGAGATATTGCCTCTGTTACATTTGGACTGAATTAGATACCATTTGAAAAGAAAACTTGAACAACTTACAAAAGTTGAAATCCTTTTATCTGTTTAAAAAACCTCTCATAATAATGCATCATTTCTGTAATGTTTGAACATGCTTGGTCATCATACTCTGTGGTAAAATTACTGGAGTTTTCTGGGAGAAATAACAAAACGGGTGATGGGTCTGAAATACGGGAGACTCCCGGGAAAAACGGGAGTGTTGGCAGGTATGCTGTAGCATTCATTAAACACTCAAACTGCTGCTTGTTCAAAGTACTTACTTAAAATGAGTTGAAACTGCGCAATTCTGGACAACTTAATCGCTTTATGTTCAATCCACTTCAGTTTATACAAGCGTTAACATAATCTATTTGTGTTAGGATGACATGAAGGAGTTGTGTGAATTCCTGAATGTTATTACAGTGAAAGGAGTACTATCACACTGTAAAACACAAAACGTCAAGGTAACTCGAGCCATTTGAGGAAACTGATTGCTACAAATCATTTAAGTTTAAAAACAAATCGTAATGAGTACTGTCAACTTACTCCATTGGAGTAATGAAGCAATTTGAGCACAATAAATGAAGAGAACTTAAACCTACTGAGTACTGTAAAACCCAATAGGTTAAGGCAGTTCAAACCGCTTGAGGAAACCGATTGCTTCAAACCATTTGAGTTAAACTAATCCGTACGAGTACTGTAAACTTACTCTATTTAAGTTTAAGTATGAGGTATTTAACTCATTACCTTCAACGCAGAGTTCAAAACTCTTTTCAATTGAGTTGAATAAAATTTCAGTACATTTTTGAGTCAACTGCACTCATTTCATTTGATAAAGTTGACTGTTTGGTTTTACAGTGTATATTTGTTGTGTTTTACACAACTACGGTATGTATGTATTATTAACTGTAGTATATTTTCACGTTTTCTTTGACTTCTAAAGACACTGCAAGTGTATAACGTGATGCAATAACAGGGTGATTGTCATTCACTTAAAGTTAAAACTACACAAATATAATTATATCTTGATTTGTTTTGTTTATTTCAGCTCTACACTGCAAAAAATGTGGCTGAGTCATGACAACAACTGTTTTTATTTTGCTATTTTAACTCATTTTAATGAGTTATGCAGGTTTAAATTAATATTTCCATCAGTTCGACTGATGCAGGTTAGGATGACTAGAAAAGTTTGTTCAATTCAACTAAAAAAATGAGGCAGCAAAAATTATTATTATTATTTGTTTTTAAAGTGGAACATTTGGATTTTTGTTAAGCTTGGGTACGTTTTAAATTTACTTTTTTTTTTATAAGAAGAAATTTTAAAACCCACACACAACCAAAGTACTAAAATATAAAGAAAACGTAGTGTTAACAGTTTGTTCGGGGGAGTATATGGGATATATCAGTCAATAACTTTGATTAACAGGTTTATATGTCAGTTTAAGGATTTAATTTTTGTCCAATCAGTGATGAGGAAAAGTAAAGTACACCGATCCAATCCGCTTGTGCTCTCTTTTATCTTTTTTCTTTTTCCTTTTTTTTGTTGCAATTTTGTAGAATTTTGTAGAATAAGTATGTGTGTACCTTATTAATTCTGTACAAATATAGACGTTTGCTATTAATATTACATATTGTTAAATAGTTCTCTATCTTTTATATTTTAAATGAGGCTTTCAGATTTGTGATATATTAGAAATATATATATAAATAATGATTTTATTATTGTTATAATAATCATAAATAAATGATTAAATATTTATATTATACAATACAGGTTAATGTTTTTTTAAAGCTGCAAGGCACATGCACTAATAAAACAAAAAGGATATAAATTCAAATTAAAAAAATTTAAACTATTTTAATAATAATAATACTTTATGCAAAAAGACAATACTATAATATATAGTATAATATAATATAAAATATTTGAATATAATATAAAATAATTTCATATATATATATATATATATATATATATATATATATATATATATATATGAAATATTTTAATTTATAATATATTATAATATAATTATATTATATATAAGATTATTATTATTATTATTATTATTATTATATCATCTTTTTTTCTGATTACTGGTTGGGAAAATGAGCAACATTTAATAATTAATAAACACATTTTATGATAGTTTCCACTCTAACAGCCGAAGCCAACAATTATTTTTAAATAGTGCCGGCTGGGTCAGTTGGCATTTCTGTGTGGAGTTTGCATGTTCTCCCCGTGTTTCCTCCGGGTGCTCCAGTTTCCCTCACAGTCCAAACACATGCGCTATAGGAGAATTGAATAAACTAAATTGACCGTAGTGTATGTAAATGTGGGGGTTTCCCAATGTTGGGTTGTGTCTGGAAGGGCATCCACTCTGTAAAACATATGCTGGATAAGTTGGGGGTTGATTCTGCTGTGGCGACCCCTGATTAATAATATAATATAATATAATATAATATAATATAATATAATATAATATAATATAATATAATATAATATAAATATCTCTGATTATACTGTCCCCTAGTCTTTACATTATGGGATAAAAGGCTAAATTAATTTGTAAATTAATAAACAAAACTGACGACACTCTCCATCGTATCTGCTCAGACCGCAGCTGAGGCCAAAACAGCGGAACCAAACTTGTTGCAAAACACGAAGATGCATTATATAAAACAGATTTGCATCTTTGAAACGATTTAAATCTCCTGCTAATCCAAATCCTAATCTTAATGATCGCAAGAGAAACCAAGAGGGCGTTTTTGAGCGTGAGTTTCTCCGCTGCTCCTCCGCTGCCTCTAATCCCCCATAATGCCCAGTTTGAGCTCCAGCAGCTGGCCAAGATTAACCACTTTACCTCCCGCTCGCAAAAACATCTGCTTTCATGTGATTAAGACAGAAAATAGAGCCTTCACAACTGCTCAAGGCATCAGGGAAAGTGCTCGACTCTTACGCCCATGTCGAGCGGACTGACTTTCATAAGGTTTCCACACACATAATGCTATTTTAATTATAACTATGTGGCATATTATATAAAGAAATGCAGGACGGAAACACTAAAATGTACATAAAACCTTACAGATAAATAAATAGCTTGTCATTTTTATTTGTACCACTTTTTTTACTTTAGATGCAGAATCAGTGAGTTTGTACTTTGCTATTAATTCTGTACATATTTAGATTTTTATTAATATTAAAAATATTAGGTTGAGTGGACGCACTATTATGTTATCTTTTTATTACAAGATAGACGGACGGACGGACGGATGGATGGATGGATAGATGGACAGGGAGGGAGGGATGGACGGACATACAGACAGATAGATAGATAGATAGATAGATAGATAGATAGATAGATAGATAGATAGATAGATAGATAGATAGATAGATAGATAGATAGATAGATAGATAGATAGATAGATAGACAAATAAATAGATAAGAAAATAAACAGATAAATAAATAGATGGATGGATGGATGGATGGATGGAGGGACATATGGA